GGTGGGCGCTGCCCCTCTCGGGCAACGAAGTCACCGGCCCGTCGCTACCGGGAAGGCAGGGGGGGGGTTCGGGTGGGCGCAGCAGGAGGTGGGGTCCCCAGTAAATGCGTCCAAACTCCCCGTGCACGGGGGTGGAACTGCAGGGTGTTTGTTCTGAAGGGGCTGAGAAGGTCCAACGCTGTCGTCTTAGCTCGGGAAAACAATTCTCCATTTAATTATATGATCAAAACCCCACGGAGGCTCCGTAGTAAACTGGGCTTTGATGAAAACAAAAGTGTCTATCACAGGATAATGAGGTCATTAAAATTAATTACCATGTACCCGGCTTCTCTTATCTGTGGGATCTGTGGGAGAGCGGCTACAAGTGGGAAAGACTGACGGGGTCAGGACGAGGCAAAGCTGCAGCTGAAAGCCTCTGAACACTCTTCTCTCTGTTACACACTGATTTTAATCTCCTCCAGCGAAGTTCTTCACTACATGTCGCCATAATTTACATTTAGAGACCAAAACTGATCAGGGGCTGGTTTGGCAAATGACAGGGACTGTGGGGTTACTGTCATCCAGACATGCAGTTTATAGAATAACATCCAGCAAACGGACTGATGTATTAAAGCTGCTGTAAATCACAGTTTTGGTTTTTTTTCTTTCTTTTTCTTTTTTTCCTTTTTTTTTTTTTTTCCCCAAGGACACACAGCAAAGCGATTTTTAATATCAGGGTTCATAGCTACATATAATGCTCAAGGGTTCCTTCGTGTTTTAAAATTTGTGCTGCAAGCAAATTAAACTATTTCGTATGGTAAAAGGTGACTGTTAAAGATGTGATTCAATACAGACTGAAGCCTGGTGAGCTGTGAGTGACAGTGCTATTGATTTCAAAGACTTTTTGAGCCCTATCTTATCACAAAACCCCAGCTTTTTATTAATAATTTTATTTTTGTGTTGATCCTCTTCATTTCTGTGCGTTTGGGTGATACATCAGTGAATTAATGTTGATCTTCAGGTTATTGATTCAACATTGATTGGTTTCAGACTCTTAGTTGGCATATTTATTTTTTTAAAGAAGATTGTGGTCTTCATTTAGACTAAATCATTAAACTTTTGTAGTTGCCTTAATGCATCAAAATATTGGGTGGCATTTAAGTTGATCACATTGCCAATACAAACTATGGAAGACAGTAATTATTTTTTTAGCTCT